ACTGAATCAAAATCTGCCTTTTAATCAACTCTTATGTGATTTTTGTGCACATTAACACCTGAGAAACACTGCCATCCACTTTCTCTTCCAGCTTCTCTTACACTTTCTTTGTGACTCTGCCCTAAACTGCTTTTACTCTATGGAGAGTTTCCTTTGGATTCCCAAGTGAACCTGAAAATCCTTACTCTAGAAAAGAGTGGCATTCATCGACGACTCCAGCGATTCTAAACTCTACATATCAGAATCCCCCCGGGGTGCTTTTAAAAGCACTGATACCTGCGCCCCACCCCTAGAAACTCTGATTCAATTGGTCAAGGAGATGTGGGTCTTAGTGTTTTAGAAATCACTGATGTACTCCACGTTTCCTATCTTCAAGAAGAAATTCTCAAATGATTAATTATATTCTGTTGAATTAATTATAATACTCCTCTTAATTCCTTAGGAGACACTTTTTACTTTTCCTTGATGGTCTCTCCCAATAGCTAATGATCCCTTGGTCAGAAAACTGGGGGGTATATCTGTAGAAGATTTGTAGCCCTTTGGGCTCATCAAGAAGCACTTCTAAGATGATCACTCTATCACTTACCAAAGGAAAGACTAGTTGGGACTATTATGCCAAATTCAACCCAGTATGAATTTTGCCATTGCAATGCTTCAATCTTTCCATAATATACAATTTTTACTAAATAGACTTGTATGTGCTGTTTCCTCCTCAACCTTATTTTGCATTTTCTTTCCTTTTCCTAAAACATGGGACAATCAATGGTGGGATTGGGAATAAAATCTTTTAGCAAACCATGACAAGTTACACAGCATGATCAGTATTAAATACTGGCAACCAAAGAAAAGTGCTGGCGGAGAAAAAGTCTTTCCATTTTACCATTACCTTCATCTTCGTAATACTTCCTTTCTCTCCCCTTGGCTTCCCTGAAGATACGAACGTGGTAGGAGGCTACCTCTCTTTATGATGAATAAATGAACATTTTCTGAAATGCTGACATGATGGAGACTCTAAGCAAGGCACTTCATACAACTCAGCGAATCAGAGGGAACGTGCAAAAATTCCTTAAGCCTCCTGAAGATTAATGCTCTATTATGTTCTGTGAACCTGGGGCAAGAATTGGAGCTACATTTGCAGACAGCTTTGGAAGATTTATGCCTACCCCTGAGATGAATAACATACATGGCATTTTAGAAGTGTATTCTATGTAAAGTCTATCACAAAGCATATGAAATTACTTCATAATATGCTGCAACACAGTTAAATCTCCCTTAGGCACTGGGAGGCCCCTTTAATTATTTCTCAGATATGTCAGCCCATGGTACTGGAATTAAAGGCTGAACATCAGGCTGAACTTTGAATTTGTTCACTCATGCAGGTTGGTTAAACTTTTGCATGTTTTTTTTTCCTTCACTTTTGAAAAATTGAAATATAATGGACATATTGTCCTACTTTCTTAGATGAGCCAAATTCCCCCCCAAGAACCAAGGAATGAAAATGTCATTGGGTAGAAAATTTGCATGTTTTACATTTTGTTTTGTATTATGAGCTGTGTTCCAACTATATCATCTCTAAACTTAAGAAATTTACATAGCCATAGAGGTCTATCTTCTACACATTGAATATAAAGTGCAAAGAATATCCATCTGATCAAAACAAATAAAAAAATCAAAATTACTTACCCAACATAAGTATTCCTGTCAGATCTCATGGATTTGTTGGAAGCAGATAAAATCGAAGCCATACTTTGTACTGTGTGGATAGTCCGTCTTTAGTTGATGTCAGGAAAGAAATATATAGTGATTTGCTATTAAATTATAGATCAATCATAATAGGTCAGCTCCAGCTTAGAATGACATTTTCCCTTAAAACTTTTGTTTTCTAGTGAAATTATTAATGGAACTTGACTCTTAGCATTCTAAACTCCCTTACCAATTCAAAAAATATCCTCCTTGTTATGGCCTTTTATACTACAGCTCAGTTCTCAGAGCAACATTTCCCCAAAAAGATAGGCTCCCTTTGAAGGTGTGGCATCCTATCTCTCTGACCAGGTTGGTTAGCTTGTCGAGCAGAGAACCTTTCCCTTACTTTTTGCCTTGGTCTCAGCATCGGTCTGTTGTAGCACACCAACTTATTTACTTCAGGACAACTGTATATGGATCCAAGTCCTCCTCTGGTTTCTAGAGTAACCCCAAAAATGTGTCCAGTACACGTGAGGACTTTCAGTTCCCAAACGTTTCATTTTTTCACCCTATCTACCCCTCACCAACTTGTTTTCATTCTTTGTGTTCACAGCGGAAAAAAAAACATACAAAGTCACGACCTTAGAATGTCTCTTCATCTGAACTTTACCCATTCAAATTCACACAGAAGGCCTGCTAATTAAACAAAATATGTTTCCCAGGGCTTCATTAAGCTAAACCCTAGGCTGCCTATAAAACCCAGTGAAGCAGCTGTTGGAGGCCAATCCAAGTAGAATAACAAAATAAGGCCTAACATTTTCAGAAAACAGAGTGTCTCTTAAGAGATCCATAAATTCACAACTTTACACTGTTGGATTGGAAAACTCTAGAAGACTTTAAAGAAACTTCATCCTGTTTTGTTTCCTCAGCTCCCATGGCAATCAGTTGAAGTTGTATACTGGTGAGAGCTTTAAGAACGTTAGTCCCATGGCTTGAAGCAAGCCAGAGCTTAAAATGTTCATAAGCGCTCAGATAGAAGCAGATACAAGACCTTTCATAAATATGCATGGGTTTCTCTGTAAGAATGTGCATCACAAGGAAGACTCAAATGCCCATGCCTTAACTGGAATCTCCCATGCTGGAAGATACTCTTCTTCCTGCTGACAGCCATTTTGGACAAATGCCTCAAAATCCATGCCGGCTTCCTTCAGTCCATCTTGGATAGCTAGCAAAGTTTACAGAATGAAAAGGAAAGAGAATAGGGAATGAATGTAGCACTCTAAATCTTGCTGCTGATACCTCCAAGTAGACGTTTGTCACTTGGCCCAAAGTTATCCAAAAATCCCCAAGGAAACCGATCTTGGAAAAGGTAATGACAATTGTGAAGCAAAATAAGCCTGAACATGTGTGTTGCTTGTGTAACTTGGGAGAGAAGTTCCTGTTTGTAGCTTATGATAATATATGTGATATGTGTTACTCATGACGCACCTCAAAGTGGTCTACCTGCTGCCCTTCCTCTACAATCACTGGCAGTTTCAGACTCAGCATGCCCACTACCCACCACAGGGGGCTTCCTACTTTTTTTTGGTATTCCATGCTTTATCTCTCAATTTATTTTAAGGGTATAATGAGGAGGACTACCGAATTCCAGTCTGGCATTTACCTCTGGCTCTGACAGGTGAAAGTGTTAGCTAATTAGATGTGTTAAATAATTAATTACTCAAGTGAATTAATTAGACGAATTAACATGTCTGTTTCCAGTGCAAATTCTGTCAGCCAATGATCATGATTGCCAACAGTGCCAGGAAACGCCAGCAAAGATTTATGGACTCCCTATAACAACTCCCCAGGACATTAAGGCAAGTGGTCATCATTTGGGTGAGGTGAAGAATAGTCTTGTCGAATCTAGGAAAGTAGAGTACTAATTAATGTCTTCTGGGTAGTCTGAAATTATTTTCCCTAGTTTCCAATCTTTCTAAGACTCAATTCTATTCTTACAGTAGGTTGTGACTCAACAATTTTTTTTTTCTATTGACTTTGATCGTATTGCGAAAGGTCAGTCACCTGAATGGGAATGGAAACAGATCTTGGTTTTAGAAAGCGTGCAACACAGGAGTCATAAGGCAAACACAGGCCCAGCCACTGGGCATTTGGGGAAGGAGGGACACGTGCCGGGCTGAGCCCCTGACTCAGCACAGCCTTGAGATCTGTAGGGCCTGTGTCAGCTCCACTAAATCCATGTTCCACAGTGTCTGGCCTAAGACAAAACACACCACTGTCTTCACAGTGCCAGCATTTTCATATTCTCACCCTGCGACAATTTTCTAACTGGATAATTTTGCCCCTGAACCTCTAATGTGAAAGAAAGGTAATCAGAGTTCTGTCATGCAGCACATGGCATTTGGGTCTCTCCCCAGTTGGCACGCTTTATATTGAACCTGTGAGATTTACCCGTGTAAACTTAGAACCATACTCACTTCCCTAAAACAGTGCTACTGTCACTCTGGGGAGAGGGTGTGGGGGGTTAGCTATGAATTGGAGGCTCCCAGAACCTTGCTGTAAGTGCCTGGGCGTCTACCTTGTGCCAGGCCACTATGCTAAATTCTGAGAACACAAAGAAGATGAGACAGATGGCATATGCCCTCATGGAGTTTACACTCTAGTGAGGAAGAGAGATGAGTGGTAAGGAATATGACAGACACTATGAAACACAGAGGAGAGGCCCCAAACCAAGACTGGGAGATACAGGGGACTTCTGGAAGGATGGGATGCCTGTGTTGAGTCTTGAAGAAAGACGGAGTCCTGAAAAACATTGCGGAGGGTAGGGGTGGGTGAATATGAGAGGCCTGTGCTCCTGGCCCAGGGAACAGTGTGAAAAATGCATAGAGGTGACAGAAAAAGAATCACATGTAGAGAACTATTAGTAGCTCCATGTGGTTTCACTTCCACATATTTGTACCAAAACATCTCAGTCAGGGCCTTAGAGGCTTTCAATTTTTGAGATTTCTGCTATATTAAAAAAATAGGGCCGGCCGAGTGGCGCGATGGTTATGAACTGGCTTGGGACACCAGAGGGCCGCGGTTTGGATCCCACATATGAGGGCCAGTGACACTGCCCTCCACAGCTAAGATGCTGAACAACAGCTCAACCTGGAGCTGGGAGGCCCGTGAGTTGCCGGCGTAGGCGTAGGCTGCAGCCCCTGTAGCAGTGGGTTGCCATGGGCTACTGTATGTAGCCAGCAGCCAGCGTGAGCGGCCAGCAGCCACAGTGAGCAGACGTCTAGAAGCCGGCAACTGATCTGCCTCGTCGGGAAGAGCGCAATGATGGTTCCAACTTGGGCCAGTGAAGCAACGTCCTCCACAACAAGACTGAAGAACAAAAGGACAGCAACTTGTCTGTTCCCCTTCCCCCAATTCCCCATTGCTGTTCCCATCCCCCAATTCCCCAATTAAAAAAAAAAAGAAAGGCCAACACAGGGTTACACTAGTTACAATATACACATTTAATCCATAACTGTGTGTTTTGAGGTAAACGGAAACTCCACATAGAAGTGTCATGCTTATTATAGAGTACGTGATTATTAAGCACCTACTATGTATTGTTTGTTTACACTCAAAATTGCATAATAAGAAGAGAATGGTCCTTGTTCTCAGGGTCATATTTCTGGCAACCTCCAAACGAAAAAGACTTAACTCTACCCTGGGTGCTTTGGTGGCCTTTCTTACTGGGACTAGGACTCCTATAATGTGAACAAAACTTAAATTCCCTGTTCCCCAATGGCTGCCTTTACTCACTCCAGTGCCTCAGTGAGTCAGCAGACCCCCTGAGAAGCCAGTGAGGTCGAAGTGCCTCAAGTGCTTTGGTCAACAGAGGCACTTAAGACTGAAAACACTTGACTTCTGAATATGCTTGACTTAAATTTTTAGAATGTTCTTAAAGATATTTGAGAGAAGAAAATATGAGGCACAGAATAGCAAACAAAAATGCAAGAAAAGCTATTTTATTGGAAATGAAGCATGATATTTTGAATCAATAACACTAAGAAATAAAATTAGAAGACTTTTCTCTAAATTCAAAAAAATTACTTTCAACTTGGAATAGGAGTCCAATCCAAAGGACGAGAAAAAATAATTGAAAGAACAAAAAGAAGAATGTCAGTAACAACAGAGATTAATTCAGCATTACACCAGGCTGGGCTCTGACTACCTCATTTAATCTTCACAACGCTTTGAGGTGGTATTATTGTTTCCCCAACTTTCAGATGAGAAAATTAGAGCCCAGAGAGGTTAAACGAGGTGCCTGACATCCTACAATGAGTTAGCCAAAACAGGATTCAGACCTAAGTTCTCCCAGCTACAAAACCATCAGAGTTCTTTCTATTTCACCACTGTTTTTAAATGATGGGGTTCTTTAAAGACAATAGTCCATAAATAATGGTAGCAACAAAAGAAGGGAAGTTGATCTGTGTCTTACAGGTGAAGTAGGGCTGGGATGTGTGAGGAGCATCTCTCTGCAGCACCTTACCCTGCTGGCCGTAAGGGTTATTGATTTCGCTCATTTAAGGGAAAGGGGTGCACAGCTAAGCCGCAGTGGTTGTGTGTTAGGTGGATGCCGCTGAAGAAAACAGCCCCATTAAAATAATAGTCCAGTCCTAATGCTGACTTTAAAATCATCTCATTGCCAAAATTTAAATTGATCTTTAAAATATGCCTCAAACACACTTTAATTTGCAGTTTAACTCATCTCAGGCTTACTAGTTTTCCCTATGATTTTCCCCCAAACGCTGGGTCCAGTTCAACACCCTGCATGCAGCCAGTGCTTTGTGCTCCTGATGGGTCCCTGAAAAGGGAATTAAAAGGCCCAGAGCTCAGAGTCTCTTAACTGCCTGTGGCTCACCCATTCCGGTAACTTCAGGCCTTGGAGATTAAAGCCTGTGTTTGTTCTTCAGCAGCAGACGAAAGTGCCCCAACTGGAACGCGAAATATACTGGGAAATCATTTGGAAGAAGCTCTGTGGGTTTGACACACCTCACACTGAAATGAGAGGAGGGGATATTTTCCTTGGAACGCAAGGAAGGTTCAGTCCTAACCTCTAACCAAAAGAATGAGGTTATTACTGCTGCTGCCCAAGAGGGCTCAGATGGGGAAATAATGCTAATCCATTGTGGAGGTGGTGAATTTCAGGTCCAAAAAGTCATGAAATTTCAAAGCTGACTGATTTTAATTTGAATTTAGCTGAGAGACAGAGAGTAGCGTGTTTTATGGTACTCTCCTAACATGACTAAGTGTAATACATTGAGTTAAACATTAATTTTTTTCTAAAAGAAGTAGAAAAGCTTGCATACATAAGCAGGCTCATATTCACATTTCAATTAATGCCTCACCCATGACTTTTCGAAAGTGGGATTCCTTTGAACACTTCACCTTGGCTTTGCATTTCATTTTCTGCTGTGATGATTGTTGGTATTTCTGAGTATTTCACGTTAGTCAGTATTCTTTAAAATTTTAATTATGAAATGGTTCAAACATATGGAAATGTGCAACTGTAATAGATACCTGTGTAGTTGCTCACAAATTTAACAATTGCTCATATTTTGCCATATTTCACACAGGCGTTTTTTA